CGTAACTTTTATAAAGGAGAGAGAGGGCACTATGAAGGGAGCTGAGGCATCAGCCCAATGAAACAAACGATAGCCAGTAATGAGCACTAGGATTCAAATTACCTGATGTTTAAAAGAGATGGGGAGCCAGTTTTCAACTCCATTTTGAACACCACATTACAAAGGAACTATTTTTTTTTGGAGAGGTTTTCGCTGTAGGGCGCATGCGCTCGCCAGACAGACAGAGAGAGACATAGAGACAGGAAGCGAGAAATCACCCCCCAGAGGGGATGGTCATGCCGCAATCCCTTCCCCTCCATTCTCCTCTTGGGATCTTGGGCATGCATGCACACATGCCCGGCGTGAGTTTTAAGCCACCAGGTCCGGGACACGAACCGCGGTTGACTAAGTGGGAGTCCAGCGACATAGCCATTACGTTAACTGCTGGTTCCCCAAAAGAACTATTTTTAAAAATAAAAAAGAATTGAGAGAAAAGAAAAAATATTAAAAAGAAAAGCTAAACCATTGAATGACAACAACCCCCCCCCCTCGGTTTGTTCCTGATAAACTTCAATCCCATCCTCTTCCATTCCCAGTTCTTTTGGAGTATGATTATCAGCAATTCTCTCTTCAAAGAGAAACCTGAGTGAATTCGTTGGAACTCCCTGTCTTTGACAGTATGATTCTTTGAGTTTCTTGAGGTGTATTGTCATTTTCACTTTGAAGTGAATCTCACTGCTGTCCAATGACTTTGAGTTTAATGTATTCTCCTTCCTTCTTATCCCCCAAGTCCTCAGGTGAGGGGTTTGGCTCCTGGTCAGACATGGTGGTGGTGGCTTCACCCGGCGGGTGGTGGGGGGTGTTTGTCTCCGCACAGCAGCTGCCTCGGGCAGGCAGAAGCTTGCTCGGGGTTTATAAATCTATCTCTCTAAATAAATAATTCTTTAAAACAAAACACATGTCAAGTATTTACTGTCTTAGTCCTGGCCAGCTCAGTACCTGGCACATAGCAGGTGCTCAAGTGAGCTGACTTGTCCCTGAAAATAAATAATTCTTTAAAACAAAACACATGTCTGAATCCTGGCCAGCTCAGTACCTGGCACATAGCAGGTGCTCAAGTGAGCTGACTTGTCCCTGAATCTTGCTACTCCAATTAAACTCTTCCTAGATAACCATTATCATGTTGCTTTTTGGTTCTAGCTGCCATTGCTAATGAGATCTTCCTTTTCTAGAATGGCATAGAATGCCGGTCCTCATGCTAAGTCCCAATTAAGACTCTTGTAGTTGCAAATATTGGATCCTCAGTTGGGATTGCAGCCCTACTTTCTGAAAGACAAGTATAAGAAACTAGAACGCTAGCAGGTGCCCTGCATACTCTCCCTCTGCCTTTCAGCTTGCACCTCTACCGATCTTGTTCTACAGACCAGCATTCTTCCCTTCTTTGTCCTCACAACAAAATGTGATTGCTCCTATTGCATTCAAGCTTGTTTCTTTTCTTTTTCATTGAGGCACTCATTTTATTTGTATGTGTATATTACATCCTTAGAAAAATAATTCTAGGATTTTCCCTCCTGTATGTTTCTGTCTTGCTTTTTCCTTTTTGAGAGGTTTTTGCTATAGGGCATGTGTGCTTGCCAGAGAGACAGAGAGGGACAGAGAGATAGAAAGCAAGAAATTACCCCTTGGAGAGATGGCCATGCTGTAATCCCTTCTCCTTCATTCTCCTCTTGGGATTTTGGGCATGCATGCAAATGTGGTGTGTTTTAAGCCGCCAGGTCCAGGACTTGAACTGCAATTGACTATGTGGAAGTCCACTGACATAACCATTATGGCAACTATTAGTCCCTGTCCCTTTCTTTAATGGGCAGAATGTTGTATCTGGACACATCTATCTGCTCTCATTCTATTGGCCAAACTTGGTCACATGGGCAATTATAGCTGCAAGGGAGCATGGAAAATGAAATCTTGTTTTATTTGTTTTTTGGAGAGGTTTTTGCTATAGGGTGTGAGTGCTCTTTAGAGAGAAAGAGAGACAGCGAAAAATCACCTCCCGGGGGGCGGGGATGGCCATATCACATTCCCTTCTCCTCCATTCTCTTCTTGGGATCTTGGGCACACATGCACACACGCCTGGCACGAGTTTAAACCATTGGGCCTGGGACTCAAACTGTGGTTGACTACATGGGAGTCCAGTGACATAGCCATTACACCAACTGCTGGTCCCGAAATCTTTTTTTTTTTTTTTTTTTAAGAATTATTTTATTTAACTTCGTTAATTTATTTATTTGAATTTGACCAGAGAGAAACAGAGTGATCAAGTGTGAGAGAGAGAGAAAGTGAGAAAGCAAGCTGCCAGGTCCGGGACTCCAACCATGGTCAGCCATGTGGGAGTCCAGTGCCCTTAACTACCATGCTACCTGCTGGGCCCCTGGAAAATGAAATCTTTAGCAGAGAGGCTATCACTGTGTTGGGGGACAATTAGCAGTCTCTGCTACAGGACTACCTAATGCAATATTTCCTTTTTGCAGGTGAGAAGAATGAGGAGTTAGACATAATAATGAGACAGTGGCAGAGTAGTCACATGACCTAGGGCCATTTCACTGCCTCGCTGCAACTGTTGTCTGTTCCCTTTAAGCAGCCATTCTCCAAATCCAGACCCTTCCATGTAATTGGCTAGAACTTAGTCATATGGTCATGCCTTGCTGCAAAGGAATCTGGGAAATGTAGTCTTTTTTTTAAAATCTAGGTGCCCATGTGTCTGTAAGGTAGAGGGAACGTGAGCAGGCACTCAGTGGCAGGCATCCAGTATCTTCTACCCCACTGCCCTGTCAGAGACTTTATCCTAGAGGAATACAGTGATGCTGGACATAAAGTCGCAATGAATTAGTGACAGTTGTGGGGTGTGCTGCATGGGAGCCAATCTCATAATGCTAACTGCTGACCTCTCTCCTGACCAGTCAAGTACATGAAGGAGGTCTCACCGTATTTCAAGAACTCTGCTGGTGGGACCTCGGTTGGCTGGGACTCACCTCCTGCCTCACCCCTTCAGCGACAACCTTCCTCCCCTGGTCCCCCACCCCGGGATCTCAGTGAGGCTAAACATGTGTCTTTGAAGATGGCATATGTCTCAAGGAGGTGCACCCCCACTGACCCGGAGCCCAGGTAAGGTTGGGGTGGGGGGAATTCAGATAGCCAGATGCCCTGGTATTAGATGGTGAAGCCAAAGGAGAGAAACCCTGTGTGTTGCATAAGTGATAAGCACAAGCCAGTGCCTAGTAGGTGCCAAGGAATTGTCTGAATGGCTATGTGAGTGAAGTTATGGGATGATGGTGTGTTCTGCTTCTTGGGCAGTTCACGTCTTGGGAAGGACTTAGTCTGTGGAGGAGCCCTTGGTTCCAGTCTTGGTCTTCCTAGTCCAGGAATTAGTCCCTTTTTCTCACTGACCTTTATATTCTCCATTGAGAAACCAGGAGGTTAGACTCAGTGATCCCCCAGGTCTATGCCAACTCTGCTGAGGCTCTGAGATACCCAGGAACATTCATAAGGGCCACAGGTTACTCTCTTTCACATCTGAGTAGCTTTTAATAGCTCACTGACAATATGGTTGATACTAGCCAACATTCACTGAGAGCTTACTGTATACCCAACGCTGTCAAGTGCTTCCTATGCACGATTTCACCTGACCATATGAGCAAAATCCTGTTATTTTACCCTCATTTTATAGATGAGGACAGAGAGGAAGTAACCTGCCCATGCTTACACAGGAAGGGTGGCACTTGCCTTGTTCCAGTAGCTCTCTCTGCTGTAGATGATGCAGGGTGTCTGAGTGATAGTGGTAGGTGAATGAAGAATAGTAATGCATCTCTCTCTTTCTCTTTTAGTTTTTGCTGTAGGGCACATGCACTTGCCAGAAAGAAAGTAAAAAAATCACCCTTCAGGGGGATGGCCACTCTGTAGTCCCTTCTCCTTGGTTCTCTTGGGATTTTGGGCGTGCCTATACAAGTGTCCAGTGTGATTTTTCAAGCTGATGGGTCTGGGATTTGAACTACAGAGCTGGCCATATGGGATCTAGCTGTCTTAACCTTAATGCCACCTGCTGACCTAGTCATGCATCTCTTAACGACAGAGAAACATTCTGGGAAGAGTGTCATTCGTTAGTGATTTTTGTCATTGTGCCACCATAGAGTACACTTATACAAACCTAGATTGTGCAGCTTACCACGCACCTAGGTTATATGGTATAGCCATTGTAACCGTATGGGGCCACTGTCGTGTGTATGGTCTGTTGTTAACCAAGACATCATTGTGCAATGTATGACTGTGAATGTTGGTCAAGTGGGGTAGGCAGTGTTGGGGGTGGTGTGTATATGGGATATACATAAAAAGCTTGTGCTGTGGGTTCTAGTTACAGCCTAGGTTCAAGGCCAAGTGGTACTCTACATTGCCTAGGAGGACAAAGTTAATGCCCAGTATTCAAATCTCTTGGTACCACCTGATGCCTCATCCCCTGCCTGCCCCCATGAGAGTGATTCACAGGTCACTTACAGGTGCACCGCTGAAAGGGCTCTTTATGTCAGGTGAGGGTGAGGTGCTATAAGTTCTTCCTGGAAGTCATGGGACCTTCAGTTTGCAGTTTCATTCCAGACATTACTGAAAGTGTGTGTGTATGTATGTTTCTATATGTGTACTTATGTAGATGTCATGTAAGTGCAAGTATTTGTATGAGTATTTGCCTGTTTATGAGTGTAGATCTGTACATTTATGTTTGTATATTAATATTTACATGTGTAGTGAATGTATGTATATATGTGTGTGAACATGTGTATGCATGTGTAACTGTATGTTTAACCTGAATATAACTTGGGTTCCATGTGGTTCATCAGCACAGAATATCCTAGTCTGGCAATGAAAACTCTATCAAACTTTTACTCAATATTAGATTGCATTGGGCTGCAATGGCTTAAATAAATGAGTTTATTTTCCCACATGTTTAAAAAGAAGTCTAGAGGTCAGCTATTCAGGCTGATGTATCTGCTCAAGGATACCATTAAGGAACTTGGCTTCTAGCTTCTTCCTCTGCCATTTTTGTTTTTATTTTTTAATTTATTTTTATTAATATTTTCCTCTTATTCTTGACGTAGCACATGAGAGAGAGAGAGAGGGAGACATGAGTAACTTCCACAGGGCCTAGTCTCACTGCAGTCCTCTTCATCTAGTCCTTCCGCCCCTCAGATCTTGGACACTCATACACATGCCCAGTGTGTTTCAGGCTGACCAGGCTGGGGATGCAAACTGTGGTTATTCTGTAGGCTCTGGCACCTCTTGAGCAGTGTATTACTGCTGTGCCATGAAGCCAGTTCCTCTGCCATTTTCATTGTGGATTTTCTTCTTCATGGAGGTATGATGGTAGCTGTGCCTCTAAGCATTGTCTCCATATTTCAAACAGGATTTGGGCAAAAGGTACAGACTTTTCTTTTGGCACTTTGGCTATCTACTGCTGTATAACAAGACATCCTAAAACCTAGTGACTTTAACAATTTAGACATAGCCTCTCGTTGATGGTTAAGGGAAGCCAGATCCCATGTGGCTGATTGATCTGACTCCTGGTCCTGGTGGCTTGAAAAACACTCCAGGTGAATGTGCATGTGTGCCCCAAATCCAGACCAGATGGAGAAATGGATAAGAAGGATTGTGGTATGATCATGCTCTACTGGGGGAGAGTGATTCTCTTTCTTCCTCTTTCTGTGTCTCTGGAAAGTACACATGCCCTTTGACAACTGAAAATAAGAGAGAGAGAGAGAGAGAGAGAGAGAGAGAGAGAGAGAGAGAGAGAGAGAGAGAGAGAGAGAGAGAGAGAGAGAGAGAGAGAGATTGAGAATTTATGGGCCAAACATGTTCAATGTTGGTTAATGTGGCTGGATCCCACTTGGTTGACTGTGGGTTTGAGTCTTGGACTCGAAGGCTTGAAAAACATGCCAGGCATGTGTATGTGCATGCCCAAGATCCCTAGAGGAAACTAGAGGAGAAGGGATTGTAGTGTAGCCATTCCCCCCAGGGAGGTGATTTGTCACTTTCTTTCTCTCTCCTTCTCTGTCTCTCTGGCAAGTGTTCATGCCCTATAGCAAACTGAAAAAGAAAGAAAGAAAGAGAAAGAAAGAAAGGAAGAAAGAGGGAGGGAGGGAGGGAGGAAGGAAGGAAGGAAGGAAGGAGACAGCAATTCATTATTTCTCATTCTTATATAATCTTGGCTGACTCAACTGGCCACTTCTGCTCTAGATGGTCTCTGCTGGGGCTGGAAGTCCAAGGTGGCTACTTCGCCCCCATGTCTGGTACCTTGGCTGGGATGGTTGGAACAGCTAAGGGCATTTCTTTTTCTACATAGCCTCTCCACATGGACAGCTTGTGCTTTCTCACAGCATGGTGGTCTCAGGGTACCTGGACTTCTTGTATGGTGGCTTGGAAATGCCAGAATATCACTTTTGCTACATTTTTTTTTGTTAAACCAAATTGCAAAGTCAATGGGAAGAGAAATGAACATCACCTCTTACTGGGAGAAAATGACTACAGGGTGGGAGGGATTTGGCAGAGGCCATGTTTGGAGACTGACTACCACACCCAGGAAAGATATACTTTCATTTGGGAAGGGACACGCTATCCAGGGACTTCTTTATCTCATTGGTCAGAAATAGGTCTCAGCCAGTCCTAGCTGCAAGGGAGGCTGGGAATTCAAGTATTTTGCTCTCCAGTTCTGTCATAGAGGAAGGCAGAGGTGCAAGAGTGTGGAAGTGGGTGTTGTGTGAACCATTGTCCATTTTTTTACCCCATTCCATCTGGCACAGAAATGCCAAAGGGGGCGATCTTCTAAATGCCCTATGGAGCATTTGGGAAATCCTCTTCCTGTACCAACTCCCGTTGGTTCCATCCTCAAAATCTTCCTTCACTCTTGCCTCATGTTTTACCTCCTTTCTTCTCCCTGTTCCTAGTCCCCAGCAATTTTTAAAAAAAATAGAATTATTTTATTTTATTTTATTTTAATTTGACCAGAGAGGAGCAGAGAGACAGAGAGAGAAAAAGTGAGAAACCAAGCCACCAGGTCTGGGACTTTGAACCGTGGTTGGCCATGTGGGAGTCCAGCACCCTTAACTACCATGCCACATGCCAGCACCCCCAGTTCTTTTTTAATTTAATTTAATTTTTATTTAAAACATTTTTAAAGAATTATTTTATTTAGCTTCCTTGCTTGCTTTCTTTCTTTCTTTCTTTCTTTCTTTCTTTCTTTCTTTCTTTCTTTCTTTCTTTCTTTCTTTCTTTCTTTCTTACCAGAGAGGGACAGAGTGAGAGAAAGCAAGAGAGTGAGAGAGAGAGGGAAAGTGAGAAAGCCAGCCACCATTTCCAGTACTCGAACCACTGTCGGCCATGTGGGAGTCCAGCACCTTTAACCAGCATGCCACCTGCACCCACCCCCAGCTCTTTATTATGTAGGTCAGCCTGACCTCTCAAGCTTCTTTCTTTTCTTTTCTTTTCTTTTTTTTCCCCTGGTAGTGAGTTGCTTTGGTTCTGGGCAATGAGGAGAACCTGAGAGCTGACCAAGCAAGCATGAGAATCCCTCTTAGAAACCTGGAGAAAAGGACAAGGTTATACAATTTTCACACAGCAATAATTCAGGCCCCATACATGTTTGAGCGTGTGTGTATTTGTGTGTCTGTGCATAGATATGTCATAGTCTCTTGTCCCTAGATCCCATGAGGCCACAAGAGTTGTGGCTGAAGCCGCAGCAGCAATGGTCCTCCTGGTTCCCTCCTGGACATCCCTTGTAGTTTCCTGGTTAGGTGGTCAGAGGGCTTCCTTGGGTCAGATTTCTGGGTTGGGCAGCTGCAGCTCAGTGGACAGGCCCTCCCTTCCACCCATTTGTGTCCGCAGGTATCTGGAGATCTGCTCAGCCGACGGCCAAGACCCCCTGCTCCTGAGGGCCAAGGATGAGGCTAGTGCGAGGTCGTGGGCAGGTGCCATCCAAGCCCAGATCACCGCGTTGATGCCCTGGGTCAAGGACGAGCTTCAGGCATTGCTGGCGGCCACCAGCCCAGCTGGAAGCCAGGACGTCAAGCAGATCGGCTGGCTGACCGAGCAGGTGTCTGCTGGCCCCTGGTCTTATCCCTCTCTCTATCCCATCCTTGGAGCTCTCCTTGTTCCCAGTCCTTCCCCTTATCATCTCACCCTACCCTGGCCCTCTGACCTTTCCCCTTCCTACCTCTCCTCACTGCCGCTTTGCCCCTGCAGCTGCCCAGTGGGGGCACGGCCCCCACCCTGGCCCTGCTGACTGAAAAGGAGCTGCTCCTCTACTCTTGTCTCCCCCAGACCCGCGAGGCCCTGAGCCGGCCGACTCGTACTGCCCCACTCATCGCCACCAGGTATCCATGGGCAGGGGCAGCATGTCTCGCCCAGAGCTTGTGGCAGATGCTCTGGATGGGCCCCGGAAGCTAGGACCTCCAGCCTGTTCTGCCTCGAGTTATTCCCCAGGTGATCTTGAAGCAAGTCTCCACCCTATCCAGGCCTCCTTCTTCAGGGTTTGGAACAGAAGGATGTGCAGGCTTACCTGTCATTCATTCGTTGACACCTATGCCTTGTACTGACTGGTTGTGGGGACATGGAACTGACTCTGACAGACTCTCCCCTCTGGAGAACCTGGCTGGTAGGAGAAATAGACCCAGGAATGGCCATTATAGTGCATGGTTGTAGGAGACAGTTATGCCTGGGTTGGTTCGGGAAGGGTCCAGGGAAAAGGTGACATTTGAGTTGGACTTTGATGAGTGAGCAGAAGCTTGCTATTTAAGGATGGTTGGAAGAGTATCTCATACAGAGAGACCATGGTGAAAGGTACAAGGCATGAAGGGTGATAGTGTGTCTTCAGAGCGATGAGCGTGCTAGAACCAGTTTGTAGACTCCATGCAGAGAATGGAGAGAAGTGAGACAGGGCGATGGCTGGGCCTGATCTCACAGAACTTCTGTTAGGGAATGCTGGCTTATTTTAAGAGCTGTGGCAGTATCTAAGGGTTTAAGGCACAATTCACGTTGCGTTTTAAAAGAATCCCTGTGGCTGTCACGTGGACTGTCACTGGAGAGGGCAGAAGGGAAGCTGGGAGGGTGCTGCAGGCTTGCAGGAGGGGGTTGGGGGTGGGGTGGAGGTGGGTGGAGGCAGCAGATGGAGAAGGAAGGCGGCATTTGCATTGGAAAATACTTGGGTGGTAAAATTAACAGGGCTTAGTGCTTGCCAGATGGGTTGGGTGAAGGAGGTGTCCTGGATAACAGATGTTGGTGAGAGGTTTGGATCTGGTGTCTGGGTGTGTGTGGGGGGGGTGGTAGTACAAAAGAGGCCCTGAGCCGGCCGACTCGTACTGCCCCACTCATCGCCACCAGGTATCCATGGGCAGGGGCAGCATGTCTCGCCCAGAGCTTGTGGCAGATGCTCTGGATGGGCCCCGGAAGCTAGGACCTCTAGCCTGTTCTGCCTCAAGTTATTCCCCAGGTGATCTTGAAGCAAGTCTCCACCCTATCCAGGCCTCCTTCTTCAGGGTTTGGAACAGAAGGATGTGCAGGCTTACCTGTCATTCATTCGTTGACACCTATGCCTTGTACTGACTGGTTGTGGGGACATGGAACTGACTCTGACAGACTCTCCCCTCTGGAGAACCTGGCTGGTAGGAGAAATAGACCCAGGAATGGCCATTATAGTGCATGGTTGTAGGAGACAGTTATGCCTGGGTTGGTTCGGGAAGGGTCCAGGGAAAAGGTGACATTTGAGTTGGACTTTGATGAGTGAGCAGAAGCTTGCTATTTAAGGATGGTTGGAAGAGTATCTCATACAGAGAGACCATGGTGAAAGGTACAAGGCATGAAGGGTGATAGTGTGTCTTCAGAGCGATGAGCGTGCTAGAACCAGTTTGTAGACTCCATGCAGAGAATGGAGAGAAGTGAGACAGGGCGATGGCTGGGCCTGATCTCACAGAACTTCTGTTAGGGAATGCTGGCTTATTTTAAGAGCTGTGGCAGTATCTAAGGGTTTAAGGCACAATTCACGTTGCGTTTTAAAAGAATCCCTGTGGCTGTCACGTGGACTGTCACTGGAGAGGGCAGAAGGGAAGCTGGGAGGGTGCTGCAGGCTTGCAGGAGGGGGTTGGGGGGTGGGGTGGAGGTGGGTGGAGGCAGCAGATGGAGAAGGAAGGCGGCATTTGCATTGGAAAATACTTGGGTGGTAAAATTAACAGGGCTTAGTGCTTGCCAGATGGGTTGGGTGAAGGAGGTGTCCTGGATAACAGATGTTGGTGAGAGGTTTGGATCTGGTGTCTGGGTGTGTGTGGGGGGGGTGGTAGTACAAAATGAGGAGGCTGAAGTCAAGCCCAAAGTGCATGGGGGATGGATAGGGAGTTTGCATGGCAAGTTTGTGCACTCATGGTTCGGTAGCTCAGGGCTGGGAAGTGGGAGACCTGGTATCAGCAGTGGCTTCAGGGGGAAACTGAGGCTACAGGAAAGAGAGTGGGTGGAGTGAGGAGCAAAAAGGGTTGATGGCTAGGACTCTGAGGTCTGCTGTCCAGAGAGGGGCAGTGAGCTTCCCAAGGTCACATAGCAAGTTGAGAGTTGAGCTGCAGTGTCTGGGGCCTTGGTCACCCATATCTCCTAATCTTGGGCTGAGCTTTGGCCCACGTGCCAGGAACCTTCTGGGAACTGGGGATAAGTAGGTCACAGTTGCCCACCTATTCAAGTGACTCATTAATTCAGACAGCAAGTATTTATTGAGCACCTACTATGTATCCGGTATGGTTTTTGTTACTGGGAATACAGTGTTGAACAAAACAGATTTCTACCCTAGGTGACATTCTAATGAAAAGTAAAAGAAAAAGAAAAACAAAAACAAACCACCAACAAATAAATAAAAGGTATCATTTCTGGTATCATGATGAAAAGTAAGGCTCGCGAGTGACAAACGGTGTTTTAGGCAGGGAAGTCAGAGAAGGCTTTTCAAAGGCGACATTGGAGCAAAGATCTGAAGGAAGCAAGGGGTGAGCTGTGCAGGAAGAGTGTGTAGGCAGAGGGATCCGCATGTGCAAAGGAGGACATGTACGTGAGGACCCCTGTGACCTCACAAGGAGTGAGGGGAAGGGAGGCAGGGGATGCCCCTGCTGAGTCAATCACCACTTGCCTGCAAATCCTGTCCCCTAGTAAGTGGTGATGGATTCACAGGTACCTTCCCAAGTCACTGCCTGCTTCACCTGCAACCTCATGCTTAGCCCTCTGTCCCCCACCCCAGACTGGTGCACTCAGGCCCCTCCAAGGGCTCGGTGCCTTACGACACGGAGCTCTCTTTTGCCCTGCGCACGGGCACGCGCCACGGCGTGGACACTCACTTGTTCAGCGTGGAGTCACCGCAGGAGTTGGCTGCCTGGACCCGCCAGCTGGTGGATGGCTGTCACCGGGCCGCTGAGGGTGTACAGGAGGTGTCTACAGGTGGGTGGATCCGGGGTAACTCTCAGGTAATGAACCTCTTATCCACAGAGGCAGTCAGGCTTCCTTCTGTGGGGTGCTTTGAGGGGAGGGTTAGAGAGGGGTTTGGGCTTGGCGAGGGCTGTTTTGGATGTGTAGGTGCCCTGGTAGCTGGTGACACTCTTTACCCTGGGATCTTTCTT